GACATTTTTTTATCTGCCCGAAAATCAGTCTTCTTCATAAAACGTCGGTCAAATTGTCTATACACAAACAATTTGACCGGCGTATAACCCGACGGGTAAAAAGTGACATCTTCAAAAGGAATTGTTCCAAAAGGCAAATGGATCTTTTTTACCCGCTGGAGTCTGAAACATCCCATTAGATAGTAATCGGAAGTTATCGTTCTACTGACACCGATAGGTGAAAAGGACCAAATTACTTTATTTGTGAGTTGAGTGCGGCCGGTAGATGTAAGATCACCCAATTCAAGGATTCATTTGGAGAATCACAAAATTTGAGAGTTTAATTAAATGTAGCGAAAAGCGTTAAATAGGTTCCCTTAGGTTTACCTGAAATCGGTTAATTACATGTTAAAAGGATTGTTTTGCCTCGTTTTTTATAGTTCGTGGGTTTAGTTGGGTATTTTTTGAATTTGGAGACTTAATTTACTTTTCCGGATTAGTAGGGACCATATTTGACACTTTTCCACATATAATCTAAAAAAGAAATTGTCGGTTTTTACACGGTTTCAAGCTAAGGTTTCAGCATTCAAACTATGCACACAAATGAAAATATGAAATAGTTGCATATTAGGTCATTGTGTGTTTTGGTTTCCACATATGCGGCACATGACAGACTAGATATTAGACTATATGAGTATTCTTAAATAAACATGTTTAAAGCCAGAAAGGTACAATTTCATAAAGTGATAATTAATTTTATCATAGATATATAAGCACAATAATGACAATACCCCATCGCCATTGGTTTCATCGCATAATGAATATAAATAAAATATATTATGCTATGTTTCTTTTTAGTTGCACATGTATAATTTTACTCTATCTACTATTAACATGGTTTACTTTGACTTTATTTAATTTAAGAATGAATGAGAGTTATTATTAGTTGAAAAACATTTTTAAATTCACCTCATTACAAATTTTCATAATTTGATTTTTATTTTTATTTTTTAATTGAAAATTAAATATAATGACAATCAAAGTTGTGCATTGCTAAACGTGAAACTGAGAATGTTACGAAAGAAGTAAGTATGTGTGACAGAATGAATTAAATATGTAATAAGAGAGAAATATAATGAATTAAAATCATCTTACAATAATAAAAGAACAATTATTGGTGTGCAACAAATTTGTACGCAAATTGTACACCGTTGTACACACTGATTTTGGCATAAAATCTACTCCCTCCATCCCTAAATAAACATCCAACTTTCCTTTTTCGTCCGTCTCAATTAAAACTTCCACTTTTCTTTTTTGGTCAGAATTTGTGGTTCACAGCAATTCTTAAACATTTGTCTCTTCTTTGCACAACTCTCCACCACATAATACTCACTATCTTAAACTGTGTGTCAAACCTATTTGGAAGTTTAATAAAGGACGGAGGGAGTATTTGTTTTTCAAACAAATTATCAATATACATAGACAATTAAGGGAATAGAGTACAATTTGTGTTCTAATTTTGTACATAATTAACAATCATTTTTTCATAATAAAAATGCTTGCGTGTTGTTTATGAGGAATGTGCATCACTACATGAACTATGAATGGCTGCTTTGAGACGTGATGGCCACGCATTGGGATTCTTGCTATGTGTACTGATAAGGAATCTGGTTTTCCATGGGAAAAGAAGAAAAGTCAAATCTTATAATGATAGTAATTTTGCGGCCAAATAGTTGATTGGTCGCCGTCCAATATTTAGTGGAGGACTTGACGTACTATTTCCTAGAGGCAATGTACTGTGTCACAAAATGCACATCCAACGGTACTACTCTTCAACAAGTTCTTCCTTCTACAATTGTTGAATGAAAGTTTCACTCGTTATCAATCACACCGTAGCTTAAAGAATTATATTGTGAAAATTAAAGCTTAAAATTGCACTATTTTTTACTGTTGATATATATATTTACACATCAGAATCTGTTTGTTGCGAGGCTAAGACCCCGCCAATTTTGCCCTATCTCCACTCCCGATGTGTCAGTTTGTTATTAAAATCTAATTTACATCCTTTCAAATCGATAGTGAAGCTAGCTCTTAAAAATGTGGTGTCATTCTTTTTCCAACAAATTCTCTTGTAAATCATCATGTACACAATCAAGTTGTTTATATATACATATACTTGTATATATAGAGGACCTACGAAAAAAAGTGTATAAAAGCGCGTATATACTCCTTAAAATTTTCTTGGTACATACATAGAGAACCCGTTTGGAGAACTCTATTTGCGGCTTATCAGGCTTATCAGTCAGCTTTTCCACCAAACACGTAACTTTTACTTTCGCGCGCTGAATTGTGTAATAAGCCGAAAAAGTAAGGTTGTAGTTACTTTTCTGGCTGTATTGGCTGAAATTACTGTAGAGGACCATTTTAGCTATTTTTACATATAATTTTTTATTTAATTTATTAATAAAATATATTTTTAAAATATTTTTTTCTTAAATCAGCAGAATCAGCCAAAACAGCCACTCCAGCCAGAATATCATAAATTTCAGCAAAATCAGCCAAAACAGCCGATTTTGGTGCTACCAAACGGGCTCAAGTCTCTTGTTCTAGGTAATTGAATAAAAATAGAACTTAAATAGGGAGTATCGATTAGATTTCTATATTGTAGAAGCCGATAGTAAGAAAGATTGCTACATCGATTAAAGAATAAAATCATCATTGTTTAAAATCCAATCTTAATAATATCGTTAGATAGTGTGTGCTGCTAAAACGCAAAGATTTAAAATTACGTACAGTATTATTATGGATTGACTTTTTAGAAAATTAAAGAAAGAATAGGATGTCATTTATATGAATTGTCGTCACTACATACGTACATGCAGCCATGGAGTATTTAATGAATATTTTTAGTTCTTCTACCCTTAAGTGAAGTTTATGTTTCACACTTTCACGTACAACGCTTAGCTGGCAAGCAAATAATTAACTCTTTTCTTATGAATTATGATACTACCTCCGGTTTTTTTTAATCTTTACAGTTTGACTTCATACAACATAAGGAAAGAAATTTGACTTTACCGTAGAGTACACTGTTGAGGCACTGTTTGGCACTGTAGAGACACTGTTCGGCACTGTTGAGACACTGTTTGGCACTGTTTGGCACTGTTTTGATATAGATTTCTTTGCTAAAAAAGGAAATAAGGAAGTGTGAAGTTTATTTTAGACTGTCCCAAAAAGGAAAGTGTGAAGTTTATTAAAAACCGGAGAGAGTATTTAAATTTGTGTACATAACATGCTAAAAGAGTGTATTGTAATAATAAAAAGGAATAAGTAACAATGTTTTAAAGGTCACATATTTTAAAAATTTAGATGTATTAAATGTAGACTTTTAAACGTCTAATAAAGTCTAGCTATGTGTATTTAAACTTTAATCATTCATATGGATTTAAATTTTAAAATCTTGGATTGTTGTGTACTTTTAACTCATTGTTATTACATTAATTCTATACAATCATCTCTTCTTTTCCCCAAAGATTTAGGTGAATGTTTTTTTCGATCGTCTTCTCATCACCACAAGTATGCAAGTACCTGGTTGCAATAGTAAATCAGAATCGACTAATTATTTACACCGGATAAAAAATCGGCCAATCAATCTTGGACTAGTACCAGGGTAGGAGGCGGTGCGAGGTTCGATGATAGCCCTAAGGTTTGCAAATTAAAACCCCATAACTTTTTATCATTTTATAATAAATAAAATCTGGAAAAGGAGAATCTACCTCACTATGGATACACAAGATAAACTTAATTAAAAATTAAACAGTGTTTTTTATTTCTTGATCATGTTATGAAGAAAAAGTAGAAGTGAGATCAGATTGGCCTGATTCTCAAAAAAATGCATCACAATTTATATACAATATACTCCTTAATTAATTAGAAACTAAATTACAATAAGTATAATTGAGAAGATGATTGAGAAGATGTTGACTTGTTGATTGGGTTTTTACAAGTCTCCCTTTTATTATGAGAAGATGGACATTATAATTTAGATTATATTGGAATTACTAGTAGTTGGTATTAATTAGTATAAGAAGACCCCCAATAATTGATATTAATAATGTGAATTTTCCTACATTAAATCCATATATAAAATCATACATGAAAATTAAACAGAGTTGGTTACTTGCTTTGAAAGTGCTCTGAAACTTCAATTTTGGGTGATAATAATAGTATCACACTTCAAAACATTAAGAGCCTGTTTGGTTACCCTGTTTTTTAACTTAATGGACTTATCAACAAACTTTATCACAAAACACGTAATTTTTGGTTTCGTGTGTGTTGAGTTGTGTAATAATCAGAAAAAGTAAGGTTGAAGTTACTTTTCTGTCTGTATTAACTGAAGTTAGTGTAGAGGATATATACGGAGTATATTTTAAATATATTTTAAAATACGGAGTATATTTTAAATATATTTTTCTCATAAATTCGTAGAATTAGCCAATCCAGTCAGAGTTGTTTTCATAAATTTCAACAGAGTCAGTCTATACAACCGATTTAGATATTACCAAAAGGGCACTAAGTCTATTGGGATGTTTGGTTAAGAGCCAGGGAGTCACTTTTTGGCTAGTTTGACTAATATTTAACTTTTTGACCGGATAAATAGCTAACATGGATTTTTGGCTAGTCGACTTTTTCATTTGACTTTTTATTCCAAATAGCAAAAATAAGAAATGCCATTAATCATAGCTTTTGGGGATTGACATTTTCTATATCTTTCCTGTACGGCTGTACTCCTATATTTTCCTCCCGACATCGCCTTTTTTCCACCGAAGAAGAAAACCATCTACATTACTAGAGAAGGAGATTTTTACATTGTAAGTTATTTTCACCCATTCATGTCAATTTTATATGTGACGTGCAAGTGAGAGACGCACGCTATATGTAAACACTAGCGCGGGAACGCGCGTTGCGCGATATCCGTGCCCAATGGTTGGAAACAAGTCAAAAAATGGGGAAAAACAGTTTAAAAGAGAGGAAACAACAGTTCAATCAAGCAGGCACACCATTGTATTGTTTAAAAACAAATCTAAACGGGAAAAGCGTTGTTCAATGATTGCAACGATTGAAGTAACATCAACAATGGGGATGACAAATAATTAAGAAAACAGAGCAAGAGTTTGTTAGCATATTCGGGGATTAAGAATGGCAGAAGGGTTGCTATTTTATTTTTTCAAATAGCAGAGGAACTCCCCGATGATTGGGTTAGAACCCGATACAATATTTCATTTCCCAAATCAACTTAAATGACTAATTAAAAAGAAATTTGTACTAACTGCATACAAACAAATATGTAAGGGGTGTATTTTCAAAATGATTAAATTGTTCTCGCAGCTCAATTTTGAGTTTTGGGAAGCCTTAGCCTTAATACATCAATGCAATCTTAACCGCCCTCTGGTGAGGAGATGAGAAAAATGGTGGACCTGAATTAGCAAGGTTAGTAATAATAGGGGGTGTCCTCAGATTGATTGGGATTATCATCACTGGACACGGGACTACGGGAGGATCATGTGTAGTGTATGCATTATGATTTTCAAAAGAGGGCTCAGAACGAGGTTCTTTATTTCCGATAATCTCAAAAGCTGAAACAAAAATTACATTTCTCACATTACCAAGATAATGTAAGACTACCTTAACCAAAATCTCCTCGGTGTGGAGTATTTAGAATTTTGAAGTATTCACGATGGACAGAGGAATGATAAATAGTATAAGCAAAAATGTTAAACCTTAACTCTAAGATCCTGGTTTTGGTGACCCAGAAAAGCTTGATGTGTGATAACCAGCCTTTGCACTTCTACAAATTTTAATGGAAGTGAGAGTCTTAGATGGAAGCAGACAATTAGAACTTCTTACAATTACCTTTACAAATGAATATCAGCAACATTGATGAAGCAATGTGGTTTTCCTCGTTCTCCTTGATTTTCGTGTTGTCTATTTGGTCAAATAATCAGTAAAAATAAAGTTTAAAAGTTAGTTCTGAAAAATTGAATCTAATCTGCAAGCCAATTCAATTCAAGGCTTAATTAAACTATCATTCTCTCTGTAGCTTTCCAATTTAAGATTCTGACACTCCCTTCAAACGGAAAACCGGACAAACAAAGTGGCCTAGGAAAAACTGAAACCGACGTATTTATAAGTAAGACTTCGTAAAAGGACATAGGAAATGTTGTATTCAATAGACGAAAAGTCTAAGCCTAACCTTGAGTTAGCCTATGCACTTTCACTTGATAGATTTGAGCAAGTTTCCATCCTTTAATTTTCATCGGGTGTAATATCACAATAGCAGGGGACCTGAAAGAGTGAGGTAACTTTTGAAGTTCTCATCAAACATTTAATATTGAAACAAACATAATTACGTAGTATAGGCCTTTTTAAAGGATAAATGAAATATGAAATAGGCAAAGTTATAAGCGTGACCTCAAGTTAGTTCAATCACTCGTATCCGCTCTTTCACCCACTGATAAATTTGTGCAAGCTTCCAACCTTCATTTTCCATTGCTATTAAAAATTCAACGTTCCTGAAAGCTGAGATAACACTTGAAGCTCGAGCCAAACATTTAACTATGATTTTTTGTGTAAGCTTGGTGCATTCAACAACACCGTTTATTATCCTCTAAATTTCAAAAGGCTTTTGTAAGCATGAAGCAAAAAATTTACTTTTGCCAAATAGATTTTGGTTAGCTAAAATTCAAAATTCCTTTAGGCAAAATATGATTAGCTAAAAGTCAAAATAAACAGTTTTCGACTAATTTGTTTAGCAGAACTGAAGGAGTGGATGCTACAAGAGACTTTTGTAAGCATCAAGGACAACCGACTCCTAAGATTGGTAAAAAACCACCGTCACCTCTGCCACTCGTAGATCTTAGAGAAATCTCTTGAAGTAATTCATAGAAACAGAAAGGCGGCTCCTTTTACTAAATAAAAGTAGAACCTGACCTTTATCATCGTGGATTGTATGCAAAAAACGTAGAGGGGTATCATGTTGCCATATATTATTAGCCTCCTCTGTGAGTTAAACTTTTAACTAATACAAAAAATATAATTGTATACATAAATCACATGAATGATAGATGATAAAATGCAGAGGGGTATCAACTTGTCAAAGGAATTTATACTCTTCTGTTCAATAACATTTAATTAATTTTTTATAACCAAACATAAATTACATTAATCATATATGCTAAATGCAGATGAATATAAATATGCCACAAGAATTAGCCTCCTCCTCTATGAATTAAACTTTCATTTGTTTAAAAAAGTATACACGAATCCCGTTAACTAATCATCGATGATAAAATGCTGATGAACATTAAGTTGGCATGGGTAAATAGCCTCCACAAAACTATTTTATGAAGTCAAACAAAAATTAACTTACGATGTAAAGTTTGTAAGTATCTCTTGCCAACTCCATAGTTCCAAAAATTTCCCTACACACAAAAACTAAAATAATCAGGAAACATACTGTAACTATTTTGAGCAATTTAAAGCTCACAAAGTACCAGTGATGTCAATAGCGGGCAATAGTGGTGCTATAGCGGAATAGCGGAGCGGGGCAGGGGGTAGGCGCTATGAGACTGCCTATAGCGGAGCGGTTGGCAATAGCGGCAGTAGCGGGCGCTATAGCGGGAAGAATAGCGGCTATAGCGGACGCTATAGCGCCGCTATAATTTACAGGGCTATTTTAGCAAGAAACCATCTTTAGCATGAAATTATTTAATGTGTATATATGTGGTTTTAGCAAGAAACCATCTTTAGCAAGAAACCAACACAAATATTTCAAGAGCTTATCTTGGCAAGCAAAGGAAAGATAGTCATAACATGAAAGTTTGTTGAATCCTTTACTTGGCCACCAAAAATCTAAATCAAGTAAAAATAATAACAGAAAAGTAACGCCCAAAATGACAAACACTTCCTCAAATTACTATAAAATCTTATATGGAAATTAACCCAAAGTGAAAATCTCCTGGAAAATATGAAGTTAAGAGATTTATAAACCTCACAAACCTACAAAAAATACATGTTGAGGAAAAAATTAGAAGCAAGAGTGAATAAAAACCGAATAAGAAAGGTATGTTAGTTTTATCATAGTTGAAAAATCTGAAATTACAAAACACATAAAACTTCACACACCCATGAAAACACAAGCAGGGGAACAAATTAGAAGCAGAAATGAAGTTCTTGGCAGAGCTGTTCATTGGGCAGAAGACTGCACTTATGCTACTGTTTCCATCAGACCACCAAGGTCTTCTAAGTAGGTTAATGCAACTGGACTGAAGTTTTTGGTTCCTCGGATGAAAACTTTCCCATCCCTCTATGGACCCAGGTGGTAGTGTAAATAATTTAGAATTGAGTAGTTATGTTTTCCCTATCTTCGGTAATAAAAAACACTTCCAGAGAACAGGCAATCTTTTACCATGAAAAACTGCTGCCACTAAATTATCCAGTATGTTATTTTATTATAAAAAAAATTTGCTAAATCATATCTCTTACCAAGATATATGTTTGAAGCCACATTTGTTATGTACTTATGCCATTTAAGCTAATAATAGCCTGAAAAAATCTACAGTTCATTCAATTATCAGGTAATTAGTTTTGTTTGAATTAAGATTAAAGTGAGCTTGAGGTTGAAAAGGAAATAAATTATAAGGCTAATAGATACACTGTTGTTATTCAGCTAATCAACACATTCTTAAATTGGCCTCATTGGTACAAGGAAAAAATAAAAGAGATGAAACCTGACTAAACAAACAACTCAATGACACAAATTCACAAACATATATAGCGCTTCAGTTTTTTTAGTTAGCAAGGAAGAGCATCCGTACCTCGAGGAATGTAGAAGTACTTTGTTGCATACTTGTATATGAAAACCAGGCCCAAACTTCTATTTTGTTCATATCCTGAAAAATAAAATAGAAAGAAAAGCAAACAAAAGAGAAAAAGTCTTAGGTGCCCACATCAAGGTGAGACTTGAGAGGTGTTAATTAACCCTTCTCCATACCAGGCGCATATGATTTGATCATGAAAGAAAACTACACATGTGTGCGCAAAACACAATTTCAAAAGTCGGCTAAATATAAGATTAGACAACAACGTAACCGAACTGTTGTGCTAAAAGCAAACAAATCATAAATGAATTAGGCAGTCTTTTCAATGCGGAATTTAAAGTAATCTAGTCTTTTCCCAGAGAAAAGACAAATGTAGAAATTAAAAACATAGAGCCAAGTCTGGGACAGAGTGTTCTGTTTTTCATTTGGCTGTGGTCTAATTTTGAAAGAAGTACATACCCATGTGTAATGCTTATCAGTCCCACCCAAATATTACAATAAATGAGTGCTGAAATCCTTTCATGTGCTCTGCAACCAAAATGCTTATCAGGAAACGAAAATGCTAACATCAGTCAGGAGGGAATGCATCATGAGCTCTATTCACCCTAAAGCAAAAATGTAGGCCATAAGCAGGTCATTAATAGATTTGAATACATAGTAATGGTTATTGGTATTCTATAATAGAAAATTTAGGAGAACTGAAAAAATAAATTAAGTTAAGTTCTAACAGAAAATAACTCCCAAATATGTCAAACATATTCTCATACTAACATAAAAACCAGGCATGAAGATTAAACCAAATAAAAAACTAAACTTGAGACAGGAAAGAGAAATTTTCACATGTGAGTCCTCAAATTGCTTAGCAGATGGCAGAAAACATCACCCGATGCAGATCTAATCATCAAGAAGGCAACAATTTGTGCAGAACATCAACACTACCTCTTCATCATCGGCCCCTTTTCAATCCTTCAATAAACAATCGATAAGGTTTGTTAAAATAAACATAAAACACAGAGAAAAATAGAAATTTTGGTATGACTTACAACATTGATGATTAAGATGACACTATGCTCAGCATAAATTCGAGCCCTAGGAACGTGAATGCATAACCCACATTAACTGCTATGAGAAGTAGTACCCATGGCAGCTGAGATTAGCGAAACCCTAGACCAATAATAATAATGAAACTAAAATGAAATTAATCAGGAAGAGAGGTGATGATTACCGAGGCTGCCAATTTCTGTTTAGAGACGAAAGAAACTTACCAAGGTCAACGACCGCTCGGAGACGAAATATGCGGGATGTCGTCGGAGGACTTCGTCACTGCTTGATTTCTGAACATGGATATTTCCTTAAAATAGAGTGAAGCCCGAACTCTGTACTCCTAGAGCCAGAAAACATGGCGAATTGGCGGACGACCGGAAGCCAGCGGCTCTGGTAGAGGTCTTCGGAACCCAACCGCTGAGGAAGAATGAGAAGAAAGAATTCTGAAAATCAAAGAATGGAAAATGAATCGGGAAAGCATCCTCACATAAACCGCACAAAACTAAAGAACAGAGGCAGAGGAACTCACTGAAGCGTAAGGAGCAATGGCACAAACAAAACAAAGGGACGGAGTAGATGAGCTTCCAAAACCGAAACAAGAATGAGAGAGAAGAGATATTTTCATCTTATCATCTTATCCTTACCCGCAGAAAGAGCGAAGTGCGCACACGTGGACAATCAAACGGGAAATAAACGGAGAAGGCCGTCAGTGTGGGTTGCGGCAATAACGGGTAACGGACGAGGACTGTACAAACGGCAAAAGAGCCTTGCTAACCCCAACTCGCTCTTATTGTTTTTAGTAGATTTTACGTCGATTCTAAAATCGATGTGAAAAATATATTTTTCAAAAACTAAATAAGTACACAGTGTGAAGTATTAGTTTATTACACAAACCGACAAGAGGAGAATACAAAAAAATATTTAATCAAACATTATTTTACAAACTATTAATATTGTTAGTTAATCAAAATAGTCACCTGAATCTGCCATTTGTCAAATGCCACACTATAATAATCCGTTCCGTTTTCTAACACTTCCACCCTTCCATTATTTTTGAGAATAATAATCTTATAATCCCACTTTATCTTTCGATTAAATGCAATTCTTTATCCAGCTTTATTCTTCTTCCAGCGGTGCTGCAGCCCAATCCTAGAGTTTGAAGTCGCCGCTCATCTCGTCGTGGTTTGCCGATGAAGCAGGGAGATATTTCCACAGGCAAAGTCACCGCGCCCAGTCTAGAAGAGGCATTCTGAACGAATCTGTTGCAACTGATGGCTCCATCCCCATGATATAATCGATACCGATGGTTTAATTTCAGGCATGAATCTACTGGTTTAACTAATCCATGGACTTGGAGGCGGACAATCCATCACCGCCACCGCGCACGGCGGAATCTACGGCTTCCAGCACTAGTACATCATGGGTGAGTCGCCTCAACGCCTCCGTCGCAAGAGGCCGAATCGGCAATCGATTCAAACTTACGGAACGCAACACCAGCTTCACCACTGAACTACGCGCCGGCACCGCCACTTTCCTCACCATGGCCTATATCCTCGCCGTGAACGCCTCCATCCTCACAGACTCCGGCGGCACCTGTTCCGTCTCCGACTGCGTCCCTCTCTGCTCCGATCCCTCCGTTCCTCTCTCCAAATGCGGCAGAGTCATCCCTCCCGACGATTCCTGCAAATTCAACCCCGTCAATCCCGGCTACGCCGCCTGTCTCGAGAAGACGCGGAAGGATCTGATCGTCGCCACCGTCGCCTCGTCGTTGATCGGCTGCGTGGTGATGGGTGTTTTCGCGAATTTGCCCCTGGCTTTAGCTCCCGGGATGGGAGCCAACGCGTATTTCGCGTATACCGTTGTGGGCTTCCACGGCTCTGGCAACTTGCCGTACCAGAGCGCGTTGGCGGCAGTTTTCATCGAAGGGCTGATATTCCTTTCGATTTCCGCGTTTGGCGTACGCGCCTGGCTCGCGAAGATGATTCCCAAACCTGTGAGAATCTCATCATCAGCTGGGATTGGGCTTTTCCTAGCCTTTATTGGGCTACAGAACAATCAAGGGCTGGGCCTTATTAGCCTCAGCACTTCCACGCTCGTGACACTTGGAGCCTGCCCACGCTCCGCACGTGCGGCGCTGGCCCAAGTCACAACCGACGCAAACGGCACCGTTTCTCTAGTTCCCGGCGGCGCGGTCTCCGGCGATATCCTCTGCTTGAATGGCCGTATGGAGAGCCCGACGTTTTGGCTCGGATTGGTTGGGTTTGTAATAATCGCTTATTGTTTGGTCAAAAACGTAAAGGGCGCTATGATTTACGGCGTCATCTTTGTAACCGCCGTTTCGTGGTTCCGTAACACAAAAGTCACCGCCTTCCCCAACACTCCCGCCGGCGACTCTGCTTACCGGTACTTCAAGAAAGTCGTCGATGTCCACAAAATCAAAAGCACCGCCGGAGCTCTGAGCTTCAAGAGCATCGGGAAAGGGCATTTCTGGGAAGCTCTGGTCACTTTCCTCTACGTCGATATACTCGACACCACCGGCACTATGTATTCTATGGCGCGATTCGCCGGCTTCACAGACGCCAACGGCGATTTCGAGGGCCAGTATTTTGCATTCATTTCCGACGCATCGGCGACGGTGATCGGGTCCTTGCTAGGGACTTCGCCGGTGACGGCGTACTTAGAATCTTCCACGGGTATAAGGGAAGGCGGGCGGACAGGGTTGACGGCGTTGACTGCGGCGGGGTACTTCCTCCTGGCCTTCTTCTTCACGCCGCTGCTGGCGTCGATCCCGCCGTGGGCGGTGGGGCCGCCGTTGATTCTGGTGGGCGTGTTCATGATGAGGGCGGTGACGGAAATCGACTGGGATGATATGCGGGAGGCGATTCCGGCGTTTGTGACTTTTGCTTTGATGCCGTTGACTTACTCGATTGCGTACGGTTTGATTGGCGGGATCGGGACTTTCATTGTTCTACACCTGTGGGATTGGAGCGTGGGGTTATTAATGAAATGTGGGATAATCAAGGGGTCAGATCGTGAAAAAGAAAATCCAGAAAATGTAGTTAAGTAGCTGTTGTTATTGGTGACGTTATTGGTGGGAGGCTATGAGGAATCAAACTTGATGATAATGATTGACAACAATGTAAATGGTCCACAAATGGTCGTTTTAATAGGAGCTTTCTTTTTTGTCCTTATTATAAAGATATTATGTGAAAATATGGAAGTATTTTTGTTTGTTTAATTTTCTTCTATTACCAATCCAATGAAGTATTTTTGCAAAAAAATTCCAATCGCATAACCCATCATAATAGAATACTCCGTATTTCCATTTTCCGTGGAATAAACTTGAAATATTAATCCGAATTTTCTCTATAAGCAATTTCCAAATAGATTATTACTTCATAATTAAAAAGTTTCTGGTGAGGAAAAGGACATATATTTGGGATATAGTAATTTGTCTGGACGCGCTCCGCTATATGCAGGGGTGGGCAAAAATATCGGAAAATCGGTATACCGCACTTACCGTACCGAAAAATATCAGAGAATACCGAAATATTGGTATACCGTTATTTTCGGTACGGCATCATACCGTACCGGTTTATTTTGGTACGGTAACGGTAAATGTTTTCGAATACCGCGGTATACCGGTATAATACCGTACCGACTCCCTACCCAACAATTACTTTTAATTCTAATACATTTTAGAAGTTTATTACAATTTTGAAGCTCAAAATTAATACTTAGGTTTGTTACAAATACCAAAACATGAAAATAAAGGCTCAATTTTCCAAATCCACTATAACCTTCAATGCTTCTACTACGTAACATTCAAACAAACTAATTCCAATGACTAATGAGTCAAGATGGTTGAGTCGCTGAGTTGCTGACGAGTGTATCTACCTAGGGATTCCACGAGTCGAGGCACACAACTTTGTCCAAAAGTCTTATTCATTTTTTTTTAAATTATAAAAATGACTAAGTACGCAATATCATATTAGGAATAAATGGTTTTATATCCATGTTGTTTGAATAATTATATCTATATTGTTTAGGTTATTTTAGGAGAATGTGTTATTTTTTAATACGTGGCATGTTGAACTGCTTAAATATACTAATAATAATCATTATTGTTCAATATTGAATATGACACCAATAGATCATTAATTGCATTTTGTAACATTTTAATAATGGAATAAATATGTCGCTAGTAACACCGATTTCATATATTTCGTTACTCTATGTAATTTGTTGTATTGGGAGACATGCATGATAATTTACCGATACTGTACCGTTACCGAACCGAAACTTCGGTATACCGAAATGCGGTATACCGAAACTTCGGTAGGGTAACGGTATATAAATTTTGCATATCGAAAGTTTTGGTACGGTAAAGGTATGAGTGAAAATATTCAGTATACTGTACCGAATCACCCCTAGCTATATGTGTATGTATGAATGTGTGTATATATAGGGAGTGTTTGAATCTGCTTCTTAAAACTGCTTCTGCTTCTTTATGGACTAGAAACAGATACCAGAATGTTTGGGTGAAAGTGCAAAAGTATTTCACGTGCTGCAAAATGCTCCAAGAAGTAGTTTTTTAGAAGATGGAGAAGACTAACTTCTGAAAAACTGATTCTGATTCTATTTATAATTTTATAAAAGAAGTATAAGTAGAATCAGTTCCAAACACCGTGCTTTGGTCGAAATTCCTTTAATTTTTAGAGATTTAATTAATCTTAGTGTTATGAGTATCTTGATTTGACGCTAAGTTAGAGTAGTAGTGTTTGGAGGATTAGGATGGTTCCAATCTCTTAGGAGCGGCCCTGTGTGAGTTGCCCACATCAATAAATTATTCAGCTGGTGATGGACCCTAAATTCACGGAAGCCATTACGTACCTCACTAATTGTAAGTTGCAATAATGAAGGGACCTGTATCTTCACTAGATGGTCCGTCCTAATTGGAATTGAGTTGGATTTTGGCAGCGTTGTAGACTTGTAGGATAAAATATAATGGGAAAATGAGCTAAATATACCTATTTGAAAGCCATAATCTAATTAAATCTATATATTAAAAGTACGGAGTATCATTTAAAGAACTTAAACTCAAAAATAAAACCAGTCAACTTTAATTTTTAGCATTTACCGTTATAAGTGAATCAAATATTTTAAAATTGGGTGCGATGTATATTATATACCAAAAAGTGCTTTTGAAGTCGAGTGGGGGTGGATGATGCATATTTTTAGTCCCTCTCGATCTGGCACTTTAAAGTTTAAATGCTTTTATCGAAATTGAGATTATATGCAGCTTACTTATACAGTTATACGGAGTACCATACACGTAACATGCGGCAATGTCCGTAGTACATGCATAATTATTAGTTATTACATAGTACTTCCTCCGTTCTTAAATAAATGCAACGGTCAACATTTCACACTTGCCGAGACAAAACTTTGACCATTAATATAAATGATTTTGTATTAGTAAAAAAATTAAAAAAAATTAGATTATGAAAATTTACAATGAAATAAGTTTAACAATATTTTTTTATAAAATAATATTATTACATTAATAAATAAAACATAGTCAAAGTACAACATGTGAATAGTGTAAAAGTCAAAGTGTTGCATTTATTTAAGAACGGAGGTAGTACGTAGTACTCCGTATTAAAGATAAAGAAATGACTCTCAAACTCACTTTGGCCCCGTTCACCTGGCTAAGCTCTTTTGTTGCGTGTGATATACGAAGTATACATATATATGTATATTTATAAACACCAATAAAATATTGTGAAATTTTGAGTTTTAGCTCCCACAACATAAATGTTTTAAGCTCCGCCCTCCCTAACTTATCATTTCTGACTCCGTCACTGTTAAATAAATAAATAAATCAAGAGACCGTGTGGTAACACTATTTTTCGACTTATCGGACTTATTAGCCAACTTTTTTACCAAACACGTGACTTTTGCTTTCACGCGCTGAATTGTGTAAGAAATAGAAAAATTAAGGTTGGCTGAATTGGCTGAAGTTGCTTTTCTGGCTGTATTGGCTGAAGTTGTTGTAGATGACCATTTTAGCTATTTTACATATAACTTTTTCTTTATTTTTCTTTATTTTATTAATGAAATATATTTTAAAAATAATTTATTCTTAAATCATCAGAATCACCCAATGCAGTCAGAATGTCATAAATTTCAGCAGAATCAGTCAAATCAGTTAAATCGACCGATTTTTGTGCTACCAAACCGACTTGGTGAATTGATAGAATTTTGACTCCTTCAATTCCTCTTTCTTTTTCCTTTTCAATGTAATTATGATCATCCATTTCAAAGCAAGACTTCTACTTTTGATGCCCCGTTCGGGAATCTATATTATTTAGCTTTATGAGTTTGATTTTTTCAATCAAATGCCAACTTTGATAATTCTGTGGGCTGAAATCTTGACTTTGTTGAACATGTAAAAGATGGTGTAAGAAGTGATTTTTATCTTTATTACACATAAAAACTCAATATATATTTGGAGTGGATGACCATACTTTTCCATTGAGCGCAGAGCTCGTCGAATGAATTTATAGGTCTCGTTCTAAATTAATGTAAAATCGAGGTCTTACATTAATACCAATTTTTTTTAAAAACTCTCAATCTAAATACTTGATAATTACAATTAATTTGAACACAATAAATAATATTCTAACACTTTTCATAAGAGTGAGTTTGTTTTGATAGAATACAGTGGTACAAGTTAATTATGTTACTTCAGTCTTTAGGTTTACCAATGAATGTGATTTGTTTCTTTAAAGTTTTGCTATAGGTATCTCAAAATGGGGTACCCCATTTGTCCCCTACCCTATTGGGTGGCCACAAATGAGCCAACCCATTTAAGTGGTGCCCCACTTAAATGAGTTGCTTCATTTGTGGCCACCCAATAGGGTGGGGGACAAATGGGGTACCCCATTTTGGAGTACCAATAGCTTTTTTCTTTTCTTTAGGTTGTTGTCTTACCAAAATTTGTGTCTAGCAAAACAAATGTGCTCAGTCCTTCATAATGCATCCAAACATCCAAGGGACTGGAAGTTACAAAGACATGGACTGATGGACATTCATGTTTGTTTTGCTCAACATACCATGAAATTTATGCGTTCAGAAACGTAAAACAGGTATTAAATGCTAAAGTATAAATTGTTTCCAAATCAGTAACCTACAATTTTCATTTAAAACATTTCACATTTGACTAGAACTATGCACGCAAGAAAAGCGATGGTCTGCAAAACATCCTTAAAACAGCACCACGAACTTATAAAGTATGGAGTAATTATTTATATTTAGGAAATAAAACATGACGATTTTATCTACAAACATTTTGAACAATTTTTAAGAGAACGCAGTGCATTGTCGGTGTTGCCGTGTTGGTGTGGATTGTTGAAGATGAAATCGGAGGAAAATAAATACTACTCGGTATGTATTACGGAGTAACTATTAAGGAATAAATTTCAAGAAAGGCATCTATCTTCAATTCGTTTATTTATAAAAAAAGGCATTCATTATTTTCTGGACTCCCCACACTACCACACCGATTACATAAGAAACTTTACCACCTAATATAGTAACTCATCAGGACACTTTAGTTTGTCAGCTTGACTAATATAAGTTAATTTAAATATTTCATTATAATCAATGTGTAATAAAGTTAAAATTATGTAGATGCAAATAAATATTATATAAAGTATTTACATGTTTTTTTTGTATAATCAATGTGTAATAAAGTTAAAATTACATACCTATATTTCACCATCCCATCTGACCGATAAATGACTACCCCTAAATCGCCAGGTCAGCCGATCAGCACCAAATATATTTAATAATACGAGATATTTAAGATTAAATTCATAAATTGGAAATGTCATTCCTTTCTAGTTTAATGGTAATCAAAGTATATTAATTTAAATTGAATACAAAATACATTCGACTTATGATGTTTTCTTTTGGACTGAAATTTGTTGGGCCGGTCTGGTCTGATCTGGTCTGGTAAACGTCTGGTCTCTGTGTATTTTATAACTACAGAAGTCTGGTCCGGTCTGCCCTAGTCTAGTCTAGTCTGGAACTGAAAACAATCCAAAGGAAAACATCCTTAGATGGACAATAAATATGAAATTGACACCAATTAAAAATCTTAAAAAATATACTCCCAGAGTTATGAGCAATATGACAATCAATCTCAATGTGTTTTGTACGCTCATGAAACACAGAGTTATGAGCAATCGAAATGGCGCTCTTGTTGTCACAGTA